ACCATTGTTTTAGAATGACTACTTTCTAGATAATACAATATGCTTGATGTAAGCATGGGTATTGATAGCCTTAACTCGGTTTTAATACTAGTACTAAAGACGTGAAATTCTATTAAAATATTTGGTTTTATGTCTGAGCGTTCATTTCAAATAATAATTGCGATCGATGTTTCCCGCTGACGAAATAAAAAAAATTAACAATAAGCTATAAAAAATACTGGAGCTGACAACTGTAACGTTGTAACCGAACGAGTATTTCACATTTAAGAAAAACTGCGTAAATTGTTTACAGAAATAAAAACTAATGCCGATGAGTGTAGTCAATTTGATATGCTTTATTATAACTATACTTTGGCTTTAGACAAACGAATCAGGTTAAAAGTACTTAGTAGGACTCGAACTGAAAATAGCGAAAAGAAAAATTTTTACGTTTAATTTAAACTTATCAGTTGATGGGTTTTCCAGTTTGTAGTTTGCTTTGCTTTCACTTAAATATAGTAACACGTTAACTATCAAACTTAATTCATCATCGTCAGATCTGCTGCTCAAAGACTTGTTCGACACCCATGAGCCAATCAGACCAGAGCAACCTACATCTCTACATCTCCAACTGTTAGCGAATAGTTATCTTGTCTAAGTCTACCTCTGCTTCAATTAACTTCCTTTTCTCATTCTGACACGTCTATTACCACCAACCCTTCATGCCTGAGAAGATATGTCCTACCAACCTACTTCTCCTATTCCTTATTTACTTCTATAGCGTCCTCTCTTCTATTCTTCCCATAGACATAGAGAATGGACTGAGCAATATTCTCATGGAACTGATTACCATAAAAAGAGGTACTTACTGGCCGCATCTTTGACCATATAATATACTAGACACGCTGTTACTCGCTTCTTTACTACATCTCATCATTAAAGTGTTGTATTTTCTTTAATGAGGTTATGTGAAACTCTCAGGGCGCAAGTCAAAATTCCACTTGTCTGGTCTTTTCGTAGTGTTCATTTATTTTTATCGGTGTCTTATGATACCGCGCCTCGTATAAAAGTTCATCCTAATATTATAAAACGGTATATCAAACATTGTGACTCCATTACAATGAGCAGTGATCAGATCTTGGGTTGCCATTCTTCTCCTCCTCAATCTTTACGAACGGTCTGCATAGAGACACACGTTTGCGTATGTGCGAGTACGCTTCCGCTGCCCGTGCGTTCGAAGACAAAGGACTTCCGCGCACCTTGTCCAGGCCGCTTCTGATGCAGTCCCGCGGCGCATTGTTTCCAACCCAGCCGAGCCGACTTGATTTCACGATTTCTGCGAGCTGCTATCCGACCAGCACAACGAGAGATGCTGCATTGTTTGGCGTATTGGTGTTGTCGGCCATCATTCTTTTCTAATTGTTGCTGTTGTCGGCCATCATTCTTTTTCAATTGTTATCGCATTGTCACTGATGTCGGCCATTATGGTTTTTAATAGATGTATAGTAATCAATGATTAAAATTTAAAGGAATATGTAAATAGGTATCCAACACATCGTACACTTCAGCATAAGAAATTGCTGATAGTGGGATACTAACTTTCATTTACGTAATACTACTTTGTCCTGTACTGACAGCACTCATAATTTTTGTTGTCAAATAGTTTCTCATCGGAATTATCTTTGCTAAAGTATGTAATTGAAACACAAAAAAGCGCTCGTAAAATTATTATGAGATGGAAGATATTTGCTGGGCTTGAAGAAGTGATAATTATGTAAAAATGTACATAGAATCTCACGGTGCCAACAGTTTTCGAGTGGGGTGTCGAATAGATACTCATCGGCATTGTTTTTGCTAAAATATATACAATTATTGAAACATAAGAAATCTCATTCGAAAATTGATAACACCATGAAATTCTACGTAATTTTTTACATAATTATCACTTCTTAAAGACTAGCATGTATCTTCCATCTCGTAATAATAATAATAATAATAATTTGGAATATAAAGGAAGCTACTGTTTGCCTTAAAGATTATTTAGGCTCACAAAAGTATAATTTTGTATGTAGATGGTTAGTTTTATACCATCCTTTTGTATTACCAGGTATTACGAGCGAAAATCGTAAGGTGTTGTCTAGGGGCTTGTAAGATATTTTAAAATAAAAAGAAATGATCTACCTTGGAACTTTTATTAACCCCTATGTCTATATCATTTATTATTCAACCCTCTATTTAATCAAAAATTAATCACCTATTAATAATTTTTTAACAAGAATATCAAATTAAGTTGCATTGGCATTCATTTTACCATTACTAAATGACTTACAATTCTCTTACAGGACATTTTAATGTTTATTTTATAATGTTACGTACATTTATTGTAATTAACAGGGCAATCTAGAATGCTATGCGTTGAGTAGGTCGAAATATGGATTTTTGCGTTTATGGATTTTAGTAGTCGTTATGGAGTGTGCGCGGTTCGTTGACGTATTCTTTCTGGAAACTGCGAGCATTTTGTTATGATCTGTCAGAGGTGAATAATGTGATGTGTCGTATCGTGATTAACAAGGTAATATTTTGCAATAATTTAAAGTTTTTAGTTCAATAAACTTCTCGTTACATCCCCTATAACCATAATAAACATTTGATAAAGTGCAAAACCCCCCAAGATATTGAAAACAGAGCGACCAGGTGTCAATAAGAAAATGTAATCACCTGATTTTGGCACTTTTCAGGGTGACTTGTTACTTTCGGTGTTCCGTTATCGATTATTATTGTTTGTCTTGTTTTCGAAACTTATTTTTTTCATAACTGTTGCACAGTCATTTACTGTATAATTGTGACGTTTCCTTCCAGCCGAGATCAACAGTGGAAAATTTTAATTCTCAGGTCGATGTTTTCTTTGTGGGCGTAGCAGTTTTAATGAGTAATTAAACGAAAAATTAATGAAATACCCTTTTTTTTGTGTAAACAAAAGTCATGGACCTTGCCATATCTGCCCATTTTGTGAATTCCTTATTAAACTTTATATGAAGTGTGGAAATCAGTTGATTACTTTGTTTACTATTTTGAAAGAACTTATGGGAAATTCATCAGCTTATGTCGTAGATTTTATTTAAAAGTTTCTTTGTAAATTAAAGTATACAACTGTCCTATGAACGAAAAGGCTATACTTCATTACTTTGATAATGTAGTGAAGAATGAGTCACTTTTAAGGAAATTGGAAAATTATGCGCATTTTCCTATTAATTTTCATAAAGCAAAGTGAAAATTACAGTATACATATTTATTATGAACAACAAATTATTAAACTATCATACAATACAGTCAGTAGGTATTCAATTTATATGCATAATCCACTTCGAAGTACTTAAACATTGAACTTTCTGACATTGTGTTTTCTCATTACATTTTTTATGGAATTGCACAATTTGTGTAATATCTACATTCCTAGTAGTTGTTGGTAAACGAGTTGTTTAATTTAGTTTTACTGCTGGGTCCTTTTAGTTATTTCATTGTTTTAATGAAAAAAGTAGTTTCAGTAGGTAATATTATTGACCCCGAATTACTACTAAAGGAAGGTCGTTAATTTTTTTATACAAACACATTAATAGTATTATAATAAAGTTATTGTAGTAGAAAATTCTAATTTGCTTTAAAATTATTTCAACCATTTTAAGTTATTTTATTCATTAGTTATAATACTTTTGGTTAGTTATAGTTACAGATAAAGTAATTTTAAATCTTATTGAGATCATTGCTTGGCTGCTACCAGTATTATTTTGTGAGAGATGGTGTGTTTGAATTGAATGTTTTGATAAAAAAAAAATGCTGACTGTTTATTATATGACATTATCTTGGGGAAAGTAGGTTGGAAATTTTATCTCAACAGTGAACATCAATAAAAATTATAGTTGTAAACTGTTAACTTTCTACATTCCAATGTGCCAGTCATTATGTGTGGCATTTGGCACCAAATGAGGAAACATTGTAGGACCTACAAAAAAAAAGCATCTGTATTATATAATTACCTTTTTTTTAATCATAAATTTACTGATACAACCTATTTATAGTCAAGCTGATTAAGTTCACAAAAATTATTTTTTAATGGAAAAGTACATAGGTAATCAATTTTTTAATTAGCAGTAATACCTATACCATGCACTCTTTTATAAATACATATACAGGGTTACAAAAATAAGGAGGGGAAGTATGTGATTAGTTATTTGCTTCTGAGATTTATTAGTAATAGCAAATATCATAAAATAACATATGGCCAAAAATAGAAAAATGGTAGTGAATATTAAAACCGTCCTTTTCAGAATGCCAATTCAGGCTCCACAGTGGACGGAGTTCCTGTCTTGTCCGGTATGTTACAATGCCTTCGACGTGTCCGTTCGCAGCCCGATCAGCTTGGGCTGCGGACACACCATATGCAAAGCATGTCTTTCGAACCTGCACCGTAAACAGTGTCCGTTCGATCAGACGTCCATCAGTATCGACATCGACAGTTTACCCATCAACACAGCCCTTCTACAACTGGTCGGTACCACTGGCCGCAACAATAATGACGAAACCGCCCCCGCATCCCCCGTTGATAACAAGATCGTACCGAAAGAGTCACTTGTACATTATCTGGCCGCAAAAAAATGTGTCGAGGAGCTGGCCATGTATCTCAAACCATTCTCCAGCGGTAACGCGAATTCTGGGACGTTATCGCGACCCATGCAACGCAAACTAGTGACCCTAATCAATTGCCAGCTCGTTGAAGATGAAGGTCGCACGAGAGCCATGCGAGCTGCACGATCTCTCGGTGAACGAACTGTGACAGAACTTATACTTCAACATCAGAACCCTCAGCAACTTTCTGCAAACCTATGGGCAGCAGTTAGGGCAAGAGGGTGCCAGTTTCTTGGTCCTGCGATGCAAGAGGAGGTTCTCAAACTCGTCCTGTTAGCACTCGAGGACGGTTCGGCCCTATCCAGAAAAGTTCTAGTAATGTTCGTCGTCCAAAGACTGGAACCCCATTTCCCCCAAGCATCGAAAACTAGTATTGGTCACGTAGTACAACTTTTATACCGTGCCTCCTGTTTTAAAGTGTCTAAACGTGAAGGTGACTCTTCCCTAATGCAGCTCAAAGAAGAATTCCGTACTTACGAGGCTCTAAGACGAGAACATGACGCTCAGATAGTTCAAATAGCAACTGAGGCTGGTCTTCGTATAGCACCTGATCAATGGTCTGCTTTACTGTATGGCGACACTGCTCATAAGTCACATATGCAGAGTATCATGGACAAATTACAGACACCGCAGTCTTTTGCCCAATCAGTGCAAGAACTTGTGATAGCCCTGCAAAGAACTGGAGATCCTGGAAAGTTATCGAAATTACGACCCCATTTAGAACTTTTAGCTGCCATTGATCCCAGTCCTGAATCAACTTCGCCTTCCTGGAAAGAATGCAGTGAAGCTCTTAATGCCGTAAAGCAAGTCGTAGCCGGTCTGGTGGAGTTCATCCATCAGCACGGTAGTCGCAAATTGCAGGATCCCACCCACGGTCAGCATACTAAGTACAAAATCAGTATGTGTCGCGATTTGACCTTACGAGGTAGCTGTCCTCGAGGTTCAAACTGCACTTTCGCTCATTCTGCTGAAGAACTGGAAAAATTTCGTGCAAAAAACAGAAAAATTATTAATCGAGCCACGCCATCTATTAAGGATCACCGCATTGAAACTCAGTCACCTGTTGATAAAGCATATACTCAGTCTGAAGACTTCTATCACATCCCGAACACGACTCCCGTTCCTTCAGTTCCAATTCAGACGGTGGTCCCTATTGCCAGAATGAACTACGACGTGCCCTACAGTCCCACGTATCCTCCCACGTCAAATTATGCCGCGCCTCAGCCCATATATCCTCCCAGTCCGGGCACCTTTCCTCCCGAGGTGTTTGGTTCGGCCACTCCTAATATGGTCTTTACCAATGGTGGACAATTCTACGCCACTCAACCCGAATATGGAACGACGCCCATTAATCAGTCCGTGGACTATCCGAGAAGACCTAATTGGGAACATATGGTAAGATTCTTAATCGGTTTTAATCAAACATGCAATCTAATAAATGATCCTACGTTACAGATTAATAAACAGTCCAATTTCCAACAAATTTCTAAAAATAAATGCACCACCACCAGTCTGGCTGAGCTTCATCAACGCAAACAGGAAGTTATTTCACAACTGGAGAAGGTGTTTGGCAAAAATGCAGCAACAGCTATTTCAAACAACGCTAGCACCCTAGCTAGGCAAGATTCTTTTGAACATGATTCCCCATATTCCTTCTGGACTGGCCACGTCAATTCAGGACCTACTTTTGTCCGATCGGATTCTATTTTAAAGGACGACGAGTATGTACCATATGATGCCCCGTGTATCAGCAAATTCGGGCCTATATCAAGGATGCAAAAAGAAAATAATAATTCCAGCCAGAACGTCATTTCTACCCAGTTTCGAGACAATGCCATCACAACATCTATGGTAAATTAAATTAGTTTTTAGTATTATTGCTTAAGTGATTTAATTTTCCATTATATTATTATTAAAGGTGCATGGTCCAGTTTCAACACCAAGTCCTGTAACGTCTTGGTACTACAGCTCTGGTCAGCCATACCATCAAACAACAATACCTGCGGGTCATCCCTATGTGACTTCTTCAGGGGCGGGATTGGGAGACGGTTATTACACAATAGGTAATTACTTTTCGACTTTATTATTTCAATTTAGGTCGTCATTTATGTCATAAATGATTGTTTAGGTTCTCCTCAGCTAATTCTTCAGCGAATGCAGGATCCTTCAAAGGAATTACTGGCCGAGTCGCAGAGAGTCAAGATGCAACTGTTGAACTTGGAAAAGCAACTGAACGATCTCAAACTGGCAACTCAAGGGGTGACTAGCCTGAGTGAGGGGGAAAGACTTACCCAAGAGCTGCAACTCATTGAGCAAGGGATACAAGAGAAACAGAAAGAGGCTTGCCTGGTAAGTAATTCGTTTTAACGTCACAATGAGACTGTTGTGCCTAGATTAGGGATTCTAAAAACAGATTTTTTTTCACAGAATAAGATCGTGTCTTCGCTCAATCAAGCGATGAATGGGATGAACCATCACCACCATCATCATCATTACCACCATCAGAATGGTAGTTCGACGTTGGGCATGACAGAAGAGGCGATGTACGAGGAGGACATCGCCAATGACATGCGCGAACTCGAGCTACGATGGCAGGAGGAGCTTGAGGAGCAGGAGAAGCGTTGGAGCAGCGAGGACGACTCCACAAACAAGTAGTTTTTCATACTTCTTATTATTGACAATTAAACCCAATGGGTTCGGTCATTCTTGTTTGAGTTTCTTAGCATACCGACTACGATTGACTGTTGTTTCTTCTTTTTTTTCCTCGTTTACAATTAAAAAAGAAAATAGTTACTTAGAAGACTGATCAAACGATATGGAAGAAAATTTGCTTTTTTATTTCAAATTATCTACCAAATTTATCTATGGATGAAAAAGATATTTACTAATTTAATTTTAATTTAATCAATAATGCCCGTATCATTTAGTTTGGGTCTTTTTCGGCACTGTTTTGGAACAAAATTTCTCGTTCAGATCAGTACATTTATTAAGAGAAAGAGAAAGAAAAGACGTCGCCAATCGTTTTGAAATTCGAGGAATTTGTTGTATTCGAATCGAGATGTTGATTTCCAGTTTTATTGGAACTCGAAGTCGTCTGTAGCTGATGCAAATAGCGAAAAGAGAAAACATCATTTTCATTTTTTATTGTCCTCCCGACGACGAATATTCTCTCATAAGTGAACGTGAACAAACGAACGTTCTAATGCGACAGAAATGATAAATAATAAAATAATATAACAAAAACAAATGAAAATAATCATACTGTGTGTGATGGGTGTACCTTCGATANCTAATTTTTTTCGTTTGTTCTAGCAATAAATGTCAAAAGTTTTAACAATAGCTGTCTTTAATGTTATTCGTTTGTTTTTTCTTTTGTTTATCTTTAAAACAAATTAAGTTTTCATTGCCGATTTGTTTTTTTTTTTTGAGTCCAGTATATTGTGTGTGGAAGAGACAAAAAAAAATGAAAACCAATAAAAATATGTATAAAATGTCCGACAGAGTTAAATATCCTGCTGAATCAATGGTGCAGGCGGCGATGTGTTTCCAAATGGCCTATGTATTTCCGTTAAAGCAGTGGCGTACGTCTAAAAACGTATGCACTCGACACGAAAAACAAAAAAGTGTGGCTTGTACAGGCAAAATGTTGAACTTTCTTTTGTTTTAAAGTACAGCTTGTCCCACAATAAATTCCCTAGACATATTTTTTGGGCCTTTTTTCTTATTCTCTTTATTGATATAACAATAACTTTTATGTCTGTCTACCCATCATTCAAAATAATGAAAATGTTCCCTAAAAAAATTATCTACGAACTTGAAAAACACACACTATGTATTTATATAATTTACAGAATAGCTGAATGATGATTTCTATAAACGGCTGTACTTTGAAAATTGAAATTTTTGAAACAAAATTTACGTTTTAATTAAACTTATATACTACCCCCATTAATACATAAATACATGTCTGTCATCTGGTTTTTAATCATTGTGCGTACCTGCTATTTAATTCAAGACAAGTTATTATGTAGAGTACGTAATACATAATGTAAATACATAGGTAAAAGGTACGTAAATTAAAGTTACCAATGCGCATTTAATTAAATCAGTGTAATTAAAAAATACATTACATACATACAAATGTAGTATATGTATGCAGCTAGTATTTTATGTAATATATTGTATAATACATAGATTCGATGTTGCTGCAGATAACTATAGTAAAATACACAATATATTCATTCTTACATACGTATAATATTTTGATAAGACGGATTTCTAATAAGGAAAAAGTATGATAAGCATACACATAATAATAATCAAAATCGTTTTTTTTAATTTGTACTTCTTTTGATTTTAAAAAAACCGCAACTCGATTTAACTTCATTTGTTTATTGAGGATATAGCGAGAAATTTTTAAAAACATAAACAAAAACATCTTATTATTGCTAGATTAATGAAGGGTGCATTTATTATTCAATTAAATTTTAATAGATGTCGATTTCCTACTACTGAAAAATTATAAAGGGATTTTTTAGCTTATTAAAAAAAATAAAAAATTAAATGTGTATATGTATGTATAAAGATTAAAATATATTTATTTTCTCATATGTGTGTAGAAATTAAGAAAATCTAATGATTAACGTGATTATGATACCAAAGCAATAATGTTAACTGTTTAGAGAATATTGAAGATGTTAGTATTGTTAATGTAGTGCCAAAACGCTTTTCAGCTATTACTTTATAAATTATTGAACAAAACTCAAAATAATTGAGCCATTTCGGTGGTTTAAATACTTTTCTTTTACATCCCTAGGTATATCAATAACTAAAAATTCATTCTATCCGAAATAGGAGGTGCAATCTCAAAGAATTTTGGAATTTTATTTTAATTAATTATTCAAAAAATAAATATAAAACTGATGTCCCATAGTAGATCTTTAAATTACTAAAGAAAGCATTATCTTTTTTTTAATGCGGAAAATTCCTTTATAATTTTTCAAACCTTCCCAAACCTGTTTCT